TCTCTCCTTCTGCATAGCTGCTGTTGACAGTCATACTCAGCCCTCTGTGAAATGCACTCATGTGGTGTTTTTCAGGAGTATGGTGAGTTGAAGATTTAACCAGATGTCATAATGTGAAAAGTAAAAGCATATAAAGTGAATGTAATTTAAAAAATACTCTATAATTTTCATTAACATTCTGAGAATAATAAACAGGATTACCTTCCACAATAATTTCTGTGCCCAGAAGAGATAAAGCTATGTTTAAATAGTTTTAAAACTCTGATTGAAGATTCAGTACAACTGGAAGGCACACTTATGTAACTATCACATTGTACTGAAATTAAAAATATAAAAAATTGAGCCTGAACATAATCTTAAACAGGAAAGAGGTGGGTGTCAGTTTTGTGATCCCAGTGTCTGGCTTTGAAAGACAAATCTGAAAAGCTGCAGTACTTCTGCTTGTACTTAGAATAAAACATGTTGAGTTTTGTTCAGCTGGAGAAAAGCAAGCCAATTATAAATAAATCCTTTATTTTTAGTTCAAGTAGAATAATAAGATGTACCAACTAGCATGGCATTTGGGTGTCTTCAAATATTCTTTATTATTTTTTACTCAAGCAAACACTGTAAAGCATTTGTGAATAACTGACTACTACTTATTTTAGCTCAACTTAAAGCTTAACGAAATCGATGGAGCTATGCCGATTAGGTGCTCGAGGAGCTTGCCTCCATGTAGATTGTAAGACAGCTACAACACATACATTTGTAATGTGTGTGGGAGGAAAAAGTGAAAAAGAAAAAAGCCCATACCTTTCTGCTCTGTTTGCTTTCACTGTCAGTATTTCTGGGCTGAACTATAACCAAAAAGCAAGAAGTATTAAGTTGCTGTTCCTAGAGCTGTATGAGGACAGTGACAGCTGGCTTGCATAGTTGTAGGAATATTGAAACAAACACAAACCAAATAGAACATGCAACATACAGTTATTAAAACACAAACTCTGCCCTAGAGAGGAAAATTATGGCTAGTCTGAACAAAACCAGGTCAAGTTTTTAAGCAGTTATTCATAGTATACTGCGAATCTGGGAGTGGTGGTTGCCAAAAGACCTATCTAAAAAGCTTAGAAGCTGTTTATGGGTTGATCTCCCCAGTGAATGATGAATGTGCCGGACTCTCTTGTGAGTGGGAGCATCTGCAGCTGCTACTCCTTGTGCATGGGTCAGTCCTTTTAACCTGGTCACCCCTTCATGTTACCTGGCCCATGCTTTGCCCAGGAAATGCTTGGCTCTCCCCACCCTTGCTTTTTAGCATGCACAGCACTGCTTGCACCCCATTTTGTTAGAGCTTTCATAGCTGAATGTTTGACCTGGGCTTTCAGACAGAGCACCACCTTAAAATATCTTTTGGTTTTCCCCTTTGGGTAATGAGAAGACTACAGGAACTCTTAGAATTCCTTCAATTTCACTGCTCTAGTTTGCTGTGACACAAATGTAATAATACATATTATACAAGAATAGCAATACCAGTAAAGGATATGCAGAAGCAGTATAAAGGAGACTCAGTTACAATATGGATATGTTTTCTGTAAGCAATTTTCCATGTTGAAAGGTGGCATACTGATGCCTGCCTAAAAAGCCTGAAGTATCTAGGAACACAAATAATAAATTTAATATATTTGCTTAATAAAATATGCCCTATTTCCTTGGTACTTTTTTATATCTAATTATGCATTTGCATCCCTGTTGTGAATGCAATAGTCTGCATCAACTGAATGATGTTTTAGCAGAGCTGCTCCTATCTGTCCAATTTATAAAATTACAGACTGACTTAAAAGACATTCTGCTATTTAATGTGCTTGATAAGTGTGCTAGCTCTTCCCATTTCACGGTGTAGAAACAGAAAGTGTTGTCGAATCACTGAAGTATATGTATCTGATGGGACAGAGAAGAACGTATTTCCCAGTATTCACTTACTGTGCATAGGGGTGTTGGGACAATACCTCCTTATTGTTGACATTTATTTTTCTTGGTTAACTATTGGACATGCAGCCCCATAGTATTTTGTCAGCATTTTATTATGAAAGCTTTGAGGAGGCAGATGTTTTCTGGAAGGAATCAGCAAAAGGCACTGACAGCTCTATTGGATACTGACATGAACTTGAATCCAACTTTGGAATGGGTTTGGAAGAAATGAGGAAGCGGCAACAGCTTGCATCTCATGCAGTAAAATGTAATCCGGTCAGTCTTTGCTAGATAATGGATGAACAATTTTAGCCAAACCTACCTAATGTAATTTGTTCATTTCAAATCATCCATGTTGCTGCAAAGGGATTCCAGAGATGAAAAACCTGAAAAGAAAATACTTGAAGTACATTAAGAAATACAATTTGCACAACTTATTTATGTATGAACTTCATAAAATGACAGGATTTTTGCAATGTTAGGTTTTAACTTCATGCCCACTCAGTTTTCTTATCAGCTATGTAGCAGTGGCTACACACATAATTCTCTCTTTCACCGCTTACTGGACCCAAGCCTACTCAATTTAGTTTAGCTGGCAATGGCACTTCTCACTTTCTTAAAACACAGAGCTTTCCAATCTCCAAGAATGTTTATAGTATAATAATTTGAAGCAGGTGTTCAAGCCTCTCTCTTCTACTGTGCAACAGAAGGTTTATTTATTTTTCATTATATATGGTGACAAACCATAGCACTTAGGATGACCATCTGCCAGTGATTTTTTTTTTTTTTTTTCCTCTTCAACTATCAGAAAATTTATGTATTTATTTTACCGTGAACACTGGTGAAGCTGATGGGGCATTCCACTTCTCCCGCAGAGTTTTATAGTTAGTCATTTCCAGAGGATTAGCCTGCTTGATTACTTGATGTGACTTTTGTATTTGGATAATTCTGGTAAAAATAAGGCTATGTGTGTTTGAATCAAAACTTCTGGTGTTTAGTGTCCCTCTAAAACTGACATAACCCTCCTATGATACGGGATGACACCTGTGGCATGTGCCCTAGAATTTCTGCCTACAGTAAATAAGGGGGTATCTTAGAAAGGGCTGTTATTCCTCTTGCCATCTTTGTGCGTTTTCAGGGTCAGTTTTCAAATACACTTTGAATATGCTGGGTACTCCTCAGTGCTATTTAAGCTTCTTAACCTGCTGCCCGCATCTCATCTGCTTCCCTGTAGACAATAGAATCTTTTCTTCCTTTTTTTTTTGTTTGTTTTTGTTTCTTTTTTCTTCTTTCCTTCTCTTCTTTGTGTTCTGCTTGTTTCACCACGTATCCCACTATATTTTCTGCAGGCTCACTCAGCTCATTGTGTCCCCACTGGTGGCCTTTCTTCTGCCTTTTGGCTGCCTCTTATTTTGAACAGCAGCTTCCAACCCTTCTTTATGACTATTTTCAAGGCAATGCTGCAGGGCATGTACTCTGCGCTGAGTAAGATTTAAGATGCTTTGGGATGCAGTTGTGAAACTGGAGTGGTGGTGGTACCTTCATAGTGGGCTACCTCAAAAAAAAGGTCCTGATGGAAAACATAAGGAGTATTGCTGCATTTTGAAAACCAGTTCAAGCTTTGTATGACTGTAGTCTACACTGTGGAAATGAGTATTTTTCTTCTGCATTAAGATCACTAAGGTAGAGCTGTGGGCAGAATAGTCATTGTAGTTCACCGTGAGATTGTACAGATTTTAGGAATAACTTTTGCATAAGAAAGCAGCAATGACATTTAAACAGCAACAGCTAGGCAACTCTTAGGAACATACCTAATCTCTGATTTTGGAAGGGAAAAGGATTTGAAGATACACCCGTTTGTAGATGCATGGCTGCCAGCATTAGCACTGTGTGTGGTGGGAGCTTCCAGCTGTGCCCAAAAGCTTGGAGCTCCATTCAGGGTCTCTGCCAAAGTGTTGTGCCTTCTGCCTGCAGGCTGGTGTGTTTTTGAGCATCTGCATTGGCTCTCTTTGGCATCTTGCAGAGAGTTTCTATTAAGTTTATCTCTATTAAGAAGGATGTAGGGAGAGAAACCTAATCAGGCTGCTTCATGGCTGGGGGGCTACGGGTAAAAGCAGGAAGATTCAGAGAGGTCCTGAACAATGCCATCAGCCAGCAGATAGCTGCGCTTCTGTTAGGAGACTGAAAATCCAGTTGGGTCTGGGGTGGGTTTTGAAATGGTTTGCTCTGTCTTTGAACTTGCTTAATAATATAGTGTCATTAATGTGCTTCTAAGCATGTTAACACAGCTGCAAGCTATTGTGTTTTATGGATATAACAGATCTTGTATCCCTGCTCAAAGAAATCTTATGGGAAATTTTCCAAGAGCTCATTAATAGCAGATACTAAATATATATTACCACTACAAGAACAAGTACTCTTGAGTCTGGTTAATTGTTGTGTCAATTAATGTTGTGTAAGAACTTCCAAATGAGCTGGTGGGTTGAAGGCTGCAGATAGGTGAGCGACTCTGTCTGTCTCAATCTGCTTTCTGTTCTTATACCATCCAAAATTACCAAAGCAAATCTCTATCCAGAGCTAGAGAAGCATATGGTTCCTGGAGGACAGCACATGCTGAGTTAAAATAAAACCTTTCCCATAGTCATGTGCTTGAGGGGTCAATTGGTCTGAGTCTGAGGTTAGTAATATCCCATCATTGTTTTTTACGTTTCAGAGGTAGAGTTCTTCCCTAAAGAACTGTGTAAGCCATGAAGACTCTTCTGCCCTTTCTTAGTTTATGTATGGGCTATTACTTATTTTTATAATTACAGGTGATGATGATGACTTCCCTCCCCCCCCCCCCCCCCCCCCCGGAAAAAATAACCTTGAAAAAGGGTAGAAAAGATGCAGTTTGGTTATCAGGGAAGATTTTCCCCTTTATACTATGTTACAGATGGAATGAGGTGGCTGGCCAAACGAGCTATGGACTTCTGTCCTTGCCATCCATGTTTTTTGTGAGGAACAGAAGAAATGACACTTCAAGTAAGATTTAAGAGATTTAATTTTTTTTTTTCTTTCAGAGCTGCCTTATAGCTCAGTCCAAACTAGGATTTGGACTAGCATTGTGTGCTGAAATGAATGAGATCTGGGCACCCAGAGCAGTTTGGCAGATTTGAGTATCTCAGCTGCATAAGAAAAGGTAATTCATCTCAGCCAAGTCCTTGGTGTTATTAACTTGGGGACTCAGTTCTGCTGTTCTGGTTGGCTACGAAGGCACTAGAGTTTGGTTCTTTATTCTCAGGCACGTCTAATTCTGGTACTATGGAAATAAAATAATTATTATTAGTTCACATAATTTCAGTATATTTCAGTAATATAAAAAGCAACAAGCAACAATTTTTACTAGCTTGGCTGATAGATGAATGCTAAGAAATAAAATACAACTTATGAAAGAAAGAGTATAAAATAAATAATAGAACTGTCCCTCCTCATAGCTTTCCAGAATAGTTCAGAATAAATAACTTGGACTAGTTTTGCATAGAAAATCTGATTAGCAGGAAAGGGCAGTTTTCCTTTAATCTCAAGAATAGCAATTAAAAGGAAGCTAAAATAGCTAGGAAAAGAGCTACAATTAACACAGTACTGCTGCCCCTTTCAATTGTAAGTTGCAGGAATGTTGATTTGATTCATCCCTTTGAGAGCTGTGTCTTCCTGGTAGGTTAAAGCCCACATCTGAAAGCAGCTCTACTGCTGTGTTTATGTGGAGTAAATGGCTGTTCTAAACACCGGCAGCTGCCTACAGACCAAAGGTAAGTTTGCTCTCAAGTCTGCTGACATTTAAGAGCTGGATTACAAAGTTTTATAGATGTAATTTAGAACTTTGAACAGAAATAAACATGTTTATAGTTGGTTATCTTCTCAGCCATTGAAAGAGAGGATACGCAATTCAGTATAAGTATTTAGTTCATTTGCATCTTGTACATAGAAAGACTTACAGCTTATACCTATAAGCACTCCATAGTCTCTGGCTTTCTCTATGTAAATATATACAGGGAGAAAGACTGGAAAATCGGTTTCTAAATTGAATACAGTTCAGCCATCTTGCTGTTGGCTGAGTTCCAGGATCATGTTCCACAGGAAGCAGTAATTCTTTTTGTTTCTTAGGGTAGCTCTTGATACCAAAATGCTTTGGCAAGCTGTGGTCATGGCTGTGTGTATGACATGTTACTGTTAAGAAAAGCAGTTAGTAAATGAATCTGGAGTTGCATCAGCAAAAGGCTTTTTAAGTCGTGCTTTATATGTGGTTTTACTGTGGTATAATAAAATAATTTGGTAATTGAATTCTTTTGTTGTATTTTGTTGTGAGGTGGCAGGTACTAGTTTAGAAATTCATATGGGCTAGATATGGATTTTGATGTAGTGATTCCTATAGGAGACTATACTGAGGTACTCAGAGACAGGGGAAATCCCATCTAAAAATATTTTCTTAGTGTGCCTCCTTAAATGTGCACAATGAGTATTTTGATCTATTTTCTTGAAATAGAATAAGCATTTTCTTCTCTCAAGGTATAGGTCCTGCTTAGGGAACTAGGAACTTGAATTTATTTGTCATAGTCCCTTCCTTCCTTTTTAACATGATACTGCCATCATGTCTAAAGAAGCATATGTTCCCTGTTCCACCCACCTTAGCAGAAACTTAGATCAGATGGCAGAACTTTTAAAATGCATGTCTACACTATTTCACTTGCCTTTCTACCCTAATTATAAAGCTCTCGAAGAGGAATGCCTTTGACACTGTCCAGTCACCTGGTTACACTGTTGCCAGTGGAGTCTAATTGCTATTTAGCATCTGATGGCTGACTTCAGGCAAGCAGCGAGAGGTGCACAGACAGCATATGCCTACCACCAGGAACGAAAGGGTCAAGGGCTGCATGGCAGTTGATTTAAGTAGGATGAGGGTCATAAATCGTGTACCTGGCACTCCTAGATCTTTGCTTTCTGTCATACTAAATAGCTTGTTCATTTCTGCATTGAGACATTTACCCACACGAGTGCTCCCAAGGTCCTCTCTGTCCTCTCCACCCTCTCCTAGTGCTGTAACAGAAGACGGAAAAATTGCTTTCACAAGGAGTAAATGTAAAATAGTAGCATGGCAAACATCTCCCACTTAGAAAAGGAACAATCATCATTAGAGAAGGTGGATGGAGGTCAGGACAGTCTCTCCAAGGTAAATTCATGTGCAGCTTTTTGCTGCTTCAGAAGCAGCAGAGCTCTGTAATAAGCAGAGCTCCAGTGATTTGGAACCTCCCACTTTACCTAAGCCCTCATATCTTGTTTTCCTTAGCATTTTCTTAACCTTCAAAGAGGAATGGATTAACTTTTAAGTAGACATGGTCCTGGCAACTGTAAGAACTTGCATTTACCACCCAGAAGAAACTTGTCAGTGGAATAAGTTTAGAAGAGTAGGGAATGATTCCTTGCTTAATTATACATTAAAAAATGGTAAATTTATTCCTGTAGATTATTCAAAACTAATTATTCAGTCACCCTTAGGGAGCACCGTGAAGCCTGTAAAATAGGTAACGCTTGGGTATTTCTGCTAGAATAGAGTCCTCATGGTTATGGGTGAAAGAGTTTGAACTGATGATTAGCCCATGATGACTGAAAACGTGTGAGGAGCAAAGGGATCACATCAGTTCCTAATCATCACAGTCCTATTAAAAGATCTGTCTTATAAGTGCAGCAAGTTTACTGCTCCTGTATCTCATACCCACTAACAGTTGTTTTCTTTTGACTTGAGATGTGAGATAGAAGCTCCAAAAACTACAACATATGTTGTGGGGGAGAGAAGAGTTGGGACCAAAACACTCTTTGGGCAAAGCCCAGAAACTATCACAATATTATTTGTGACCTAATAGTGAATCACAGTCACACGTTTTATACCTTGAGATGTATCTGTTGCACTGGCATCTTCTCTGCCTTGAAAATGTGAAAACTCGTGATACAGTGTAAGTGCTTACAAGCCAAGGGCAGCTTGGGATTCATTCTAGATGCCTCTAACAGCTTCAGGGCCACCCTGGACCACTCACTGAAGGATCTCGTTCACCTCTGCCAGCTGTGCTTCTGATGTCCCTTTCTGGGGGAAATACAGATTTCCACATTGGAGTGATCTTCTCTTTGGCCTCAAAGTATTGTATTTAGTAACTCAATTTGTATCATTAAATTTATGAAATAAGAACTTTTGTTTTGCTGAAGGTGTAGGTCAACCATTGGCAGCCTTCTGTCAACAACATCCTTACAGTTTAAAACTCTTTCTGGAGAAAACTCTGACTAAATTGGAAAAGACCTTTAAGATCATCAAATCCAACCATAATAATCTGGATCTGGATGGTGAGTAGAGATCTCTAGACCTTGTGCTTTTCTTGGTAGAGGGTTGGAAGCATTAGCTGATTGTGGGGCTGAGGGCAGTGTGACGAGGCACCCTTACTCCCCGCCTTTTAGCCTGTGAGATTTTTATGTTGGTTGAGAAATCCTTTCACATCTTCAGAATGTGCTGCTTTGTTAATCACTTCAGAAGGCCAGAAGGATGGCTCCCACTTTCCCCCCCCCCCCCCTCCATGCAGCACTGTCTACTCGGGATTCTTGTTCTGTCCTTGGCTGGATGTTCTCACAGGAGACAGCTCACAGAGATTGCAGTCAAGATGTGAGAACACAAAGCAGTCAGATTTTATGTGCTAAATATTCATCCAGAAAACAAACTTTCCAGGATGATCAGAAAAAGAAGAACCTGTTACTTGATATTGTTACTAGCTGAGTTTTATGAAGCCAAGTTGAATCTAAGATGTGCCACTTTGTGTAGGACATCATACACCATGCCACATTTTACCAAAAAACATGGTGTAGTAGAAGTAATAGAGAACTTTTGCTCCTGTAATTAAGTATTTCTGCCATCTTTAAGTCCAGTTCCTATAGGTAAAACTATTTAAATAATTTTCCAATAAGAAGTTTGCCATTTAGTTTTATTTGCTAGGTGACAACACGGAGTAGTCAGTGCATTATTTAGAAAATTAAGCAACAGTACCTACAATTCAAAGAATTAATATATCCACACACTCAAAAAACCAAACAAATCAAAGGGAGTTCATTTGTTTGACAGCCATACAAACTGAATAATGAAATGGAAAAAAGTCATGAGCTTGAAGTTATTTGGCTTGGAATAATTTGAGATAGGAAGAGAGAAAATATGGGTGGAAGGAACAGGAAGGGAGAAAAACTGTTCTAAATGGCAGTTTAAATTGATACATTCTCTACAGGACAAACTGCCTGAGGTTATAAGTATATGAGTGTCAGTGAAACAAATATATAACAATGAAGAATTTGAAAAATAAGTTAAAGTTTTACAAGACGCTACTTCGAGCTTTAGAAAAAATGTGTTTTGTGACAACTGTATTTAGTAACAAAACCTTAAACCCTGCTAATTCTGGGGCATTTGCTGATTCATCTGCTTTCATTCAGGCTACTGACAGGACTCCAGTTTCCCTTCTTATTCTGTCAGCTCCTCTGAACTGTATCTAAAGATATGACTTCACATGGATCCAACAGGCATAATAGTGCATAATTTTCTCTTTGAATAGTCAAGCTTTGAGTTTGCTCTAGCAGCATGTGTTTTGGCAGGCTGTAAACATATAGTCAACCTGATCTTTCCTTATTTGCACTAGGTCCCAGCTAATCCTATCATCTTTTAGCCTACACAGCTGGCAGAAGAGCTGTTGATGAAAGACTATTCTTCTGTATGAGGTCTGGGCTTTGGTTTTACAGTTTTGATGTTCCTTGGAAGAAGGAGTGAGAGGCAACAGTGAGGTATGATCTGCATCTCTGTAACTCTAATAACATTTTTGGGTGTGTCTATGTTGTGTTGCATTCCCCTCCTCCCCCCATTTTGATGTGAATAAGTGGAGATTGAGCAAATTGGTAAAGCTTTGTCATAATATGCTGGGCTTTTTTTCTATATATATTGCTGAGGTCACGCAAACTAGCCTCCACTCTTAAATGCCAGGGCATTGCATCAGACTGGAGTTTTAGTACAGTGTACTCTGGGTGGCTGATTTCTGATGGTGTCTTATTCCTAATCAATATATTAATTCTGTTGGAGAACTGATCTGGAATTTTATTTTATTCAGGCTTAGTAAGGAAGGCATTAGCACATCTCTGGGTGACTGAAACTACATGTATACAGTAATCCCCACATAGATTGTTTTCAGTTTCCCAGGAGTGTTTTTAATCTGTTTACATTTTGTTAAATAAAAATCCCTCACAAAACTGGGACACTGTCTTTGCAGGCCAGCGTTATTCATGTGTGCCAGAGGTTATGGATGAGGAATTGGTTTAGAATCTTTCTGTTTGAAAACTGGTAATTTCTTACCATTTTCAGATATTTTGGCATGTCACTTTCTTTATTACATTTTTTTTTCTGTTCGTGCTGTCCTTAAAATTTCTGGCATAACTCAACATTTTTCTCAATCTGTTTTACTGACGGTAGACACACGAGGATTTAAAATGTCACCAAGCCTAGAGCTATAGATATGGAAGTTCTGCATAAAAGTAATATAAAGGTAGAATTCTTTCATTCTTAACTATTTTGGTATGAGTATCAAAACAATTCAGTAGGGCCCGACAAGTAGGGCTAACAAGAAGCATGACAGCTTCTCTTTAGGAAACACTGTATGTGTTACAATCTGAGGTTAACAGCAATAACATTTTTCTCTCTTCTGGTTTTAATAAATGCCTCAGGGCATTGCATTTGGTTAAATCAAGCAGCAGACAAAATGTAATGCACTGCTAACCTCTAAAGTATGTGCAAAAAGTTTCTTCATAAAATATGTATGCAGAACACAGTGCTGCAATGATAATGATCCTCTCTAGGTTATTCTATAAAAGATTTAGTATTTTAGGGTCTGTAGTCTTTGATTTCTTTTTTTTTTTTTTTTTAAAGGAGTTCCAAGTATTTTACTCTTGTATTTGTTTATTTTTAATGAACTCTGCATTAGCATATGAAAGTCATATTAACATATGCTGAGTACTCACTTTATGTTTATTTCTACATATTTAGCTGAGAAGAATTGTAATATAGGCCTGTAGATGGCATTCTTGCTCAGCAGTTCAAAAGTTACAGAGCTAGTTTCCTTTTTCATTCTGATATGGAAGATATATTTTAATTTATGATGCTCCCTTCCCCCATGTATATGTTGCATATGCTGTGTATAATCCATTTGGGGTGGCTGGCATTTCTGCAGAGTATAAGAATGATAAAAAGTGCATTGAGCTCTCCTGATAACCATTTAAGTGATTTCTTCTACTGCCTATGTTTGACACCAACATAATCTGTAGTTAAATGTGTTTCTTGTTAAAGCCTGTAGTCCTCAGCTTGATCATGTAGGTAAAGGTGTACATGGGGGCTGTTCCAGTTCCTTTTTTTTTGTGGAGAATGGGGTCTTTTCAGGCAACAGAAATAGTTACTTGTAGGAATACACTGCTGTTTGCTTTATGTCCTCCTTGTGTTAGGTATCATACTGCAAAAGAAAGAAATTGCTCAGCAGTTACCGTATACCTCGGGACAACCCTTTCTGAATTCAGGTGCAGGACATTGCACTGTAGCTGAGCATGTAGCCAGGACAGAATCATAGAATGATTTGAGTTGGAAGGTACCTTGAAGGTCATCTAGTTCCGTCCCCTCTGCCACAGGCAGGGACACCTTCCACTAGACCACCTTGCTCAAAGCCCCATACAACCTGGGCTTGAACACTTCCAGGGATGGGACAGCCACAGCTTCTCTGGGCAAACCTGTTCCAGTGCCTTACCACCCTCACAGTGGAGAATTTCTTCCTAATATATAATAATCTAATTTCTAATTTTAAATATCTAATTTCTTCCTAATATCGAATACCTATTTACGCACAATACCCTTGTGAATGCCAGTTGCGCAGTTTTTTTCATGATGTGCTTGCTCTCTGGCCAATACTCTGCAGGACTGTTGGCTAGGGAGGGAAGAAGAAAGCAAACAGAAAAGGGGATGATTTTCCCCAAAAGTTGAATTCTTTTCCTGGCTCATCAGAAGACAGAAAATAATGTCAAAGCCTGAAACTTCCCATAATGCAACAACTTCCAGGGGACATCCCTGTTATATTTTGCAGTGGTGATGACATATACCTGATTTCTTCCTTAAGATCTTAGATTAATGGATTCATTTTAGGGCTAAAATCAAAGTCTCCCAACAATCCATGAATTACTTTCTGTATGGTAGGAACTAGCTGTGTGTGTGTGCATTTTGGGGACTGGGTCTTAATTCCTTAGAACAGCCTGTTTGTCTGTCTTGCTTTGTCCTGCTCTTTGACTTTTCCTGTGCTCTTGCTACAACTTAGCTTCTGCTCCCCAAAACCAAGCAAACTATTTCTAATATTGTCCTGGGTTCAGCAGTAGCAGTCATTTTTCTCCTTCTTGGTAGCTGGTGTAGTGCAGTGTTTTGACTTTCAGCTCGGGAACAGAGCTGATAACAATGATGTTTTGGTTTGGCCAAGGACTTTGTGAGCCTCATGCTCTGCCAGGGAGGAGGGGAAGCCAGGAGGAAGCAGAGACAGGACACCTGACCCAAACTGACCAAAGAGGTATTCCATACCACAGCACGTCATGCCCAGGAGGTAACTGGGAGTTAGCCGGAAGGGCTGGGAGACTGCAGGGTTGGAGGAGGTATCAGTCAGAGCTTGGTCGGGCTTGGGGGGCAAGTTATCGGTCAGTGGGTGGTGAGGTGTTGTATTCTCTTCCCTTGTTATTTCCTTTATCATTATTATCATTGGTGGTAGCAGTAGTGATTTGTGTTATACCTTAGTTACTAAACTGTTCTTATCTCAACCCGTGGGAGTTGCATTCTTTTCGATTCTCCTCTCCGTCCCTCCGAGAGCAGGGGGAGGGCAAGAAAGGGGGGGAAGTGAGCGAACGAGTTACCTGACTGGGTTTAAACCACGACAAATATGCTAATGCCTTTTCTGCTCCTTATATGGAAGATCATTTGGTTGGTTACCAAGCAGTATTTTATCTTTGGGGTAACCATCCCTTCCTGCAGAGTTTAAGATGCAACCAACCAACCCATCCTTTCTCTGGGAACAGTGAAGGTCTATTGGACTAGTATCTGAGTTGCTGTCACAACAGGGCATGCAGTATTGAGGGTTTGCTCTCCATAACCTAGCCTTGCCTCTTAGAGATCACCTTTGCAAGAATTATGCTTTAAAAACATAATTGTCAAATAAAAAAATCCTCAAAACCTGGTTTGGTCAACTTGTGTTAAGTAAATAGCAAACCCTGTGTGTGCAAATACTGCTCAATACTACTGCAGTGGTAATCCTTTGTGAGAAAGAATACGTAAGAAATATTCCTTCATTAACTGAAGTCAAAGGCAGACAGTAAAACATTCTTAATGGATAGACACAGCAGGATAATGTTGAGTTAGAATAAGTTACAGTTTTAGTAATTTTATTGGATATGATTGACTTTCTTCTAGTATTTCCTCCATGGTTTCTCTTCAGGAGACCTTGTTTTAATTGTCAGAAAAACTGAAAAGCAGTGGCTAGGTGATTATGCAAGGTCACTGTTGTCTTTGCAGAAAGCTGAAGGAAGAAAAGCAGTAAAAGAGACAGTTTTACTAAACGTGCCTTATCTGTCATTAAGCTACATGAAAAAAAGCATCCATAAAAAGAAGAAATGATGAGCCTGTAATGTCACTTTGCAGAGACCAATGTACATTGTATTACTGAGTTCTTGATGATAGGGGATATTTAAAATTCCAGACTAACGTCAGTTTCCATTTGTTTATAAAAGCAAAGGGTCATATTTGTTTTTCTTGCTGCTGTCAGCCTTAAACATCTCCTATGCAGTGCACCATACACCAGCACTAACACTTTTTATTTTTATAAAGTGCCTTGGAGCAAAGTAAATGAGGGTGTCACATGTTTTATCCTGTAAAGCATGAAGCAGACTTTTCCCTCTTCTGGTATTCTTGTACTTTTTAGATCTTTCAAACTGCAAGTAGTATTCTTTTAAATTAGTGTAACAGTGAGGTCTGATGGCTCCAGCAGACATCATGCATTGAACTTGAGATAGGTGGAATATGAAAAATAAGAGGCTGATAATGTAGACTATGCTATCAACAATCAGATTATTCCAATGCCTTGGAGTTCTAGTCATGGACTAGACAACCTGGTAGCCTGGTTATGCTCAAAACAGGACAGAGAAGGTTTTTTTTGCTGTGTGTTTTTTTTTCTGTTTTTTTTTTGTTTGTTTGTTTGTTTGCTTGTGTGGTTTGGTTTGTGTTTTTTTTTTGTTCTGTGTGATTTTTTTTTTTTTTTTTCTAAAAAAGTTTGCTTCATAGGTGGAAGACAGGAGGGAAGTGATAAAGGAGGAGGTGGAAAGGGTATTTATCAGCTTAATAGGCAGCAGTCTCAGTACATCAGTGGCCTAACTGCTGTCCACTTCCCACCGGTGAGGAGCAAGAGGAGAAATAGAGACACATGTTCTTAGAGTACAGAGGGGGTATTCAGTTGCTGTGATTTAGAATCCAGAACCCCATTCACAATTCAGTAATGTATTCATATGAATATAGGGGCATTTAGCTTTCTAGTATTAGGGGAAGGCAGATGCAGGGACTGTGAGAATGAAGACTTTAGGCCCACTGTATGAGAGGATCTGGCTCAAGACCATCTTAAGAACCAGAATGTACACAAGTCCATGGGATCTGATGAGATCCATCCACGGGTCCTGAAGAAGCTTACGAATGAAGTTGCTAAGCCACTAGCCATCATATTTGAAAAATCATGGCAAAAACTTCCCCTGTTTAAGTTTTAATCCATTACCCCTTGTCCTATCACTACAGTCCCTAATGAAGAGTCCCTCTTCAGCATCCCTATAGGCACCCTTCAGATACTGGAAGGCTGCTATGAGGTCTCCACGCAGCCTTCTCTTCTCCAGGCTGAACAGCCCCAACTTTCTCAGCCTGTCTTCATACGGGAGGTGCTCCAGTCCCCTGATCATCTTTGTGACCCTCCTCTGGACTTGTTCCAAAAGTTCCTTGTCCTTTATATGTTGAAGGCACCAGAACAGTACGCAGTACTCCAAGTGAGGTCTCACGATTCTGTGGATGTTTCCACTGCTTTTTTTCTTTGCAGCACTATGTTTGCAGAAGAATGTGGCTTCTATGTCTTGTGGTAGGGTCTGTAGAAAAAAAATGATGGAGATGGGATGCAAAGGGAGAGAACAGGACCATGCTTTTATTCCGAGTGACTTAAGTCTTTCCCACCCATAGAAGGAAATGAAAGGTAGCTGAAGCCACGGGCAGCTGAGTAAAACTGCTTGGCACTACTCCATCCTTGGGGTTAAGCTGCTGAATGTACTCCCTTAAGTCTTAAGGGGTAACGAGAGGATATGAAAGAAAGAAAAAAAACAAACTACTTGTTCACAGTTTTATCTAAACTAGTTCCATCTTTCTAAATTAATACATTTTTTAACCAGCCCTGGCAGATTAAGCTGATATAATTTTTTCCACACTTCTTCAGTATTTTCTGTTGTGATCTAGGCTGTATTCTAGGAATATCACAGAAACATAGAAAAGATCATAAAATGGAATGTTCTTCTGGGATATCAAGAAAGGAATGAGAATGCAATGCCTTTTTACTTTACATTTTCATCTTGCATCTAAATATATGTCACATTAAAGAGGGACTCTTAGCCTCTCTTGATAACTGTAATCATGCTGGGACATTGCTGTTCTCAAGGTTAAAGACATGCGTTAACTTTGTGTGTGTTTGAAAACAAAGAAAAGGAAAACTGTTTAACTAAAGGAAGTTTCAGTTTCTTTGTACTTGTTATCTATGTAGTCCTGTCACTGGTTTATCAGGAGCAAAATATATTCCAAAAAGCATGCTGGAATAAACAGTACACACAAGTTTTCTCTGATGAATACTCGATACAGAGCTGTCTGCTGTTTGAACCAGATGAGTTTACACATTACTTTCTTTCCTTTTTTCTTTTTTTTTGTTTTTTCTTTCCTTGGCTATTGAAATGTAAATCCCAGGAGTAGGAAAAGTCATGTGGATTTGTGACATTCAGTAACAGACACTGAATTCAGAAACCAAAGAACATGTTGTTTTCATTCACACCGCGACTTCTACAGCCATTCTTTACCTCTGGCAGAAAAAATATTCTGGTAATTAATAGTCATTTAGTGGTAAAAGCCACATTCAGTCCATATTGAATCTCATAAAAGGATTTCTGTTGATGTGGCAGCACTGTGACCTCACTACTCTTAAACTAATCTAATAAAATTATTAATGCTTTTAAGAATGGCAGTTTAATTTTTTCAGCCATGATTGAGTAAAAACTCCTTATGCAGTGGGAAGAAAGTAGCTGATAGTCTCTGGAAAATTGTGTTATATTTTTGAGATGGATGATAAGGGTGAGAGAGACCTATTACTGGAGAGGTGTTGTGATTTAAACTCAGCTGGTAAGTAAGTACTATACAGCCACTTCCTCACCCCACCAATTTCCTCCATTCTGGATGGCTTTGGGGAGGAGAACAAAAAGAATTTAAACCACATGGGTTGAGATAACAGTTTAATAAGTAAAAATACGATATGATACTGCTAATAGTAATAATGATATAGGAAATAACAAGGAGAGAGAATATGAAACTAAAAGGGGAAAGGGGAAAAAAATCCAATAAACACAAGTGATGCACAATAAAATTGCTCACCACACGCTGACCGATACCCATCCCAACCCAGGCAGCGATCAGTCCCTTCTGGGTAGCTGCCCTCAGTTTATATAATGGGTATGATGTGCTGTGGTATGGAATACCCCTTTGGCTAGTTTGGGTCAGATGTCCTGCCTCTCCTTCTTCCTGGCTTCTTGTGCCCCTCCTTACTGGCAGAACGTGAGAGACTGAATAGTCCTTGATCAGGGTAAGCAATACTTAGCAACAACTAAAACAGAGGTGAGTTACCAGCATTGTTGTCAGACTAAAGCCAAAACGCAGCACTCCATCAGCTACTAGGAAGAAAAGTAATGCTATCTCAGCCAAAACCAGGACAAGGGTAATAAAATAATAAAGGGTTACTTGTTTTATTAATATCCTTATGAAATGTTAGGTACATTATAACTGAAAATAACCCCAAAATATTTAGCCATTAACTATTGGATGCAGTTTTATGGTTAAACTCCCATAAACTTCTCTATATCCACTCACAGTGGATGGCTGGGGGAATGTTTTTACTATGCTAGAGCAAGTAAATTAATCAGCACCTTGGGAAAGATACTGATTTTCAAAATCTGAGTGAGAAGGTACACACCTCAGCCAGTTGAGCGTATTTAGCTTGTAAAATGGGAGATGAAGTTTCAGTATTTGCATAGAAATGGTGCTAAGGAGCTATGCTTAGCATGGAAGGCACGTGGCAGAAGTCTACTTGAGCAGAGGCAGCTGTGTCATGGAAAGCCAGGGGAACACCTTGCATCCAGCAGAGATGTCTTTTGCAAGGACCCTTGGCTCTGAAGAGTTCAGAATTTTAATTTTGTTGAGCTAAAACTCTGGTAACTTGCTGCTTTTGTGCCATTTTGAGTCATTTTGGGAGAAACCTTTTCAGACAGCAAGTTAGAGTCTTGTGGGATTTATAGGATCCATGTATAGAGATGAGGGAGGCTATAAAACACTGCTATAGAGGCATACAGTCAAGAAATCCATTAAAATAACTCTCTGTTGTACTAAATAAATGACATGAATATGTCATTCCTCTCAAGTCATTTCTGTATTTCAGAAAGGAGTGACCTAGTGAAATCCATTTTTCCTAGTACTGCTAACATGGGTGTAGTGACTTGTGGGATTGCACAGTGTAATCTGGCATTTACACTGTGTAAACAGTGTATACTGCATATATACAGAAAAGCATCCCTCATTACAATTAAGACATTTTATGAAGCTCATCTTACGTAATTACTCTGAGTTATATGGTAGGTTTTATGATTAAGACATATGACAGAATTTACTAACCTAGCGTGGAATTTTAGATATTAATGGAAGCCCTTAGTAAAAGCTCAAGGACTTTATTAAATGAAGTTTGAATAAAACATGAGCTAGAAACATATGAAACTTTCGGAAAAATACCTGCAAGCTGCTGACTAGCCCACACATTTCATAGTACCTGTACTAGTACCAAATTCTAGTCTTATGCTCTTGGCATGAGGTGGGGGGCAAGGCAGTGTTGTTGATATGAAACACTATCAAGGAAGAAAAAAAGATTCTGAGTTTAAGGAAGTCTGGGTACCAAACCTCATATTACTATTGTCATTGTATCTGAAAAGAGAAGGAGGACATTTTTTTGTCAAAACTTACAGCAACTATTTAAGATGAAAGGGGTATCAAAAGCATTAACAGAGCACTAGGCTCAGATGAACAAAGCTGGTAGAAGAAATTTTATTGTGTGGTCTGGATTATTTCATGGCTTTGAAACATTACTGAGGTCAGCAAGGATTTGTCAAAACTTTCAGCTGAAAAGGATGGGGCTATCAAACTGTGTGACACAGCAAGCCATGCCATTTAAAGGCATAATTCTGATTAATGAATTAGGTGTACCAGTTTAACCTAGTTATTTGGACAGCAGTAGGCATAGACACAAAGCACATGTGCCTGATAGTAAAGCAAAACCTGTAAAGCTCTAGTGTGCTGAAGCTGCTTTTCTTCCCCAGTGACTAAGTCACGAGTCAGTGATGAGCAAGACTAACTCATCATAATGTAAAGACAACCACTATAATCTTGTCCAGGTCAGTGTCAGTATGGCTTATTGGCAGTATAAATACTCGGCATGGAAGTTAAAGATGCCTGAAGGCAGCCTTAGTTCTCGAATGCAGTTCAGTTTAATTCAAATGTCATATTCTTAGTTCATAACAAGAGAAGCTGATGTACTGTAATGCTGACTGAAATATTTGCCATTGCTAAATGCTTAGAAAGTAGCTCCATGTGCGAGTAAGTAAGTTTATGTTAAATAAGCCTCTAAAGATTAAGCAGAGTTGGCCTTTTATTTTCTTTTTTATTTTTTAATGTGGGTTTTCTTTTTGGGTTGGGTTTTCTTTTTTTTTTGTTTTTTTTTTGTGTGTTTTTTTTTTTTGTGTGTGTATGTTCAGGTAATGGAACTTTTTCCAACTGTACTTACTTGAAGGGAAACTTGTTTTCATGGATACACAAGGGACTGCAATTTATTGCCATCTATTTTTATATTTAGAATTACATGACTAAACTCATGAATAGGACTTCAAATAATAGTGTATTTTCTAAAATTTCAGTGTGCCTCTTTCTGTTGAGACAGATGCTACAACAAAGAACTAATATTGAGTAAAGCAAGATCAAGAGCCTTAGAGCCCCCATGGAGAATAGAGACCAAGTGATGTTCACTGGTGTTTCCTGACCTCAGGAAGTTTAAGCATGGGGTCATCTGAGCAGAGCCAACTCTAGTGCTTTTTAGCTGGTGGAGAACCCAAGAGAAACTTTTACTGTTAATTGTATTTAAAATTTTGCTAAAAAGTTTACATAAATTGACTTTCCCTCTTCCATTTTCTAACAAGCTGTTACATGTTGGCATGTCAATATGAAGGCAGTGTAAAAAAGAAAATTTGCAAGATTTATAAGGGTCTGGTGAAGATGCACCTCACTCTCCTGAGGTAAGAGGGGCCCTGTGCTGTCTGGTAAGCAAAGAAGGACTTTGTGGATTCATAACTGTGTGCGCAGAATACACTTGGAGCTTAGACAGGCAGGATGCAGGACCTGCAGGTTCCTCTGAGAAGAATGAAATGTTTGTGACTTTCAAAGGTGTTTGTCTGTCTGCCCTGGTCTTGGAGAATTTAAAGAAATCTAGTGACAAACATGATTTGGGATTATCCTAAGTGTACTTGATTCTTCTTTTGATAAGGGGAAGATGAGTGGTGAGATCCCTTCTGCCACTTCTTACCTGCCTGGTTTTGAAACTAAGATGCAGCCATGTGAGGAGGGCCAGAAGGATGATCAGGGGACTGGAGCACCTCCCATATGAAGACAGGTTGAGAAAGTTGGGACTGTTCAGCCTGGAGAAGAGAAGGCTGCGTGGAAACCTCATAGCAGCCTTCCAGTATCTGAAGGGGGGCTATAGGGATGCTGGGGAGGGACTCTTCATTAGAGACTATAGTGATAGGACAAGCGGTAACAGAGGATATTTAGACTGGATATAAGAAGAAGTTTACTGTAAGGGTGGTGAGGCACTGGAATGGGTTGCCCAGGGAAGTTGTGAATGCTCCACCCCTGGCAGTGTTCAAGGCCAGGTTGTACAGAGCCTTGGATGACATGGTTTAGTGTGAGGTGTCCCTGCCCATGGTTACAACCCCCCTTTGGAACCAGATGATCTTAAGGTCCTTTCTAACTCTAACTATTCATGATTCTATCATTCTATGATTATATGCATGTATTTGCTTCTGTCTCTTTTGCTGTGGAACATGTACATGTCAATTTGTATTGAGCTGTGCAGACAGATAAGCATAGATTAGGTGTTTGCTAAAGCTAGGACTGTTGTTACCAAGAACAGGAATTTCACAGTATTTGCTTTCCCCCTTGCAAAAATATAAGCAGTGAGGATGTTGCAGTAAAGACCTTTTTCCATGGTAGTACAGATTGTAAATCCAAAGGGCATTTATACAGTTATTCCAAAGGTACATTTCTGAGCTGATAGGTTAGTATTTTAGTACCAGTCTTATAAAAGTGTATTTGCTTAATTATTTTTAACAGAAATCTCACTAAAAATAAAG